AGAGAATGCTTGCACAAAGGGTCAGGATAAAGATGAGCCTGTGACAGTAGGAGTGAAGTTTTTGGAAAAAGTGGACCCTTGCCTTTTGGCTGATCCATTTGTGGTTTCAAGATGGGTGAAAAAAGCATTGGGTATAGTGGAATCGGTGAGGGTAACCAGAAGTGGTATAGTGATAATTGTTTGTGTTTCTGTTGGTCAGAGGGAGAAGGCGCTCAGAGTTAAACAAATGGGGGAAAGAATTGTGAATTGTTTCGCTCTCAAGAAAAGGGCGCCATTGAAAGGAGTGATTACTGAGGGTAGCAGTAAATGTAAAAGTGGACCAACTGAAGGGGAAGATTCCCTGTGTTTATTTTTTATTTTTATTTTTTTAAACAAGAGGGGGGTTACGAGTGAAGGGCCCTGCAGGCATAGTCTACTGCAAATGATAATGTATTAACTAACAAATAATGTAGTAACTCATAATAATGTAATCACTTTATGTAATGCAATGTTCCCCACGTTCATTTTTCTGAAGTAATTTTATTTTTTATTTTATTTTATTTATATTTTTTGGGGGTTAGATCAGCTTAATATTGCAGATAGATTGTAACTTCTATCAATGTAATTGTCTGCATCACTTCCAATCCCCCATGTGTTTTATATATACAGTGAGGGAAAAAAGTATTTGATCCCCTGCTGATTTTGTACGTTTGCCCACTGACAAAGAAATGATCAGTCAATAATTTTAATGGTAGGTTTATTTGAACAGTGAGAGACAGAATAACAACAACAAAATCCAGAAAAACGCATGTCAAAAATGTTATAAATTGATTTGCATTTTAATGAGGAAAATAAGTATTTGACCCCCTCTCAATCAGAAAGGTTTCTGGCTCCCAGGTGTCTTTTATACAGGTAACGAGCTGAGATTAGGAGCACACTCTTAAAGGGAGTGCTCCTAATCTCAGTTTGTTACCTGTATAAAAGACACCTGTCCACAGAAGCAATCAATCAATCAGATTCCAAACTCTCCACCATGGCCAAGACCAAAGAGCTCTCCAAGGATGTCAGAGACAAGATTGTAGACTGGAATGGGCTACAAGACCATCGCCAAGCAGCTTGGTGAGAAGGTGACAACAGTTGGTGCGATTATTCGCAAATGGAAGAAACACAAAATAACTGTCAATCTCCCTCGGCCTGGTGCTCCATGTAAGATCTCACCTCGTGGAGTTGCAATGATCATGAGAATGGTGAGGAATCAGCCCAGAACTGCACGGAAGGATCTTGTCAATGATCTCAAGGCAGCTGGGACCATAGTCACCAAGAAAACAATTGGTAACACACTATGCCGTGAAGGACTGAAATCTTGCAGCGCCCGCAAGGTCCCCCTGCTCAGGAAAGCACATATACATGCCCGTCTGAAGTTTTGCCAATGAACATCTGAATGATTCAGAGGAGAACTGGGTGAAAGTGTTGTGGTCAGATGAGACCAAAATGGAGCTCTTTGGCATCAACTAAACTCGCCATGTTTGGAGGAGGAGGAATGCTGCCTATGACCCCAAGAACACCATCCCCACCGTCAAACATGGAGGTGGAAACATTATGCTTTGGGGCTGTTTTTCTGCTAAGGGGACAGGACAACTTCACCGCATCAAAGGGACGATGGACGGGGCCATGTACCGTCAAATCTTGGGTGAGAACCTCCTTCCCTCAGCCAGGGCATTGAAAATGGGTCGTGGATGGGCATTCCAGCATGACAATGACCCAAAACACACAGCCAAGGCAACAAAGGAGTGGCTCAAGAAGAAGCACATTAAGGTCCTGGAGTGGCTAGCCAGTCTCCAGACGTTAATCCCATAGAAAATCTGTGGAGGGAGCTGAAGGTTCGAGTTGCCAAACGTCAGGCTTGAAACCTTAATGACTTGGAGAAGATCTGCAAAAAGGAGTGGGACAAAATCCTTCCTGAGATGTGTGCAACCCTGGTGGCCAACTACAAGAATCGTCTGACCTCTGTGATTGCCAACAAGGGTTTTGCCACCAAGTACTAAGTCATGTTTTGCAGAGGGGTCAAATACTTATTTCCCTCATTAAAATGCAAATCAATTTATAAAATTTTTTTATACATGCGTTTTTCTGTATTTCTTTGTTGTTATTCTGTCTCTCACTGTTCAAATAAACCTACCATTAAAATTATAGACTGATCATTTCTTTGTCAGTGGGCAAACGTACAAAATCAGCAGGAGATCAAATACTTTTTTCCCTCACTGTATACTCCCCTTTATTACTTTTCAACCCCGCCATCCTTTCCCTACTTGGGGTAAATTAGTGAACAACAATGCCCAGGCCTCTACTTCCAGCCAATACTTACTATCTACACCTTATGGACACAGTAAATTTTACAATAATTCTTTTTTATTTTGTTATTTATTTTTGCTCCTGAACTTCTTCTACTCTCAACCTCTCCGATCATTTTCATGATGTCCATCCGGTTTGCTTCTATATGCCATATCTTTCTAACTGTGCTCTTTCCCAAAAGCTCCCAACATACAACCTACAGTGGGGAGAACAAGTATCTGACACACCGCCGACTCTGCAGGCCCTCCCACCCACAAAGCATGCAGAGGTCCGCAACTTCCACCATAGGCACACCTCAACTGCGAGAGACGGAATCCAAAACAAAAATCCAGAAAATCACACTGTACGATCCCCAAGCAATCAATCTGCATTTTATTGCATGACACAAGTACTTGATTACCTACCAACCAGTAAGAATTCCGGCTCTCACAGACCTGTTAGTTTTTCTTTAAGAAGCCCTCCTGTTCTCCACTCATTACCTGTATTAACTGCACCTGTTTGAACTCGTTACCTGTATAAAAGACACCTGTCCACACACTCAATCAAACAGACTCCAACCTCTCCACAATGGCCAAGACCAGAGAGCTGTGTAAGGACATCAGGGATAAAATTGTAGACCTGCACAAGGCTGGGATGGGATACAGGACAATAGGAAAGCAGCTTGGTGAGAAGGCAACAACTGTTGGCGCATTTATTAGAAAATGGAAGAAGTTCAAGATGACGGTCAATCACCCTCGGTCTGGGGCTCCATGCAAGATCTCACCTCGTGGGGCATCAATGATCATGAGGAAGGTGAGGGATCAGCCCAGAACTACACGGCAGGACCTGGTCAATTACCTGAAGAGAGCTGGGACCACAGTCTCAAAGAAAACCATTAGTAACACACTACGCCGTCATGGATTAAAATCCTGCAGCGCACGCAAGGTCCCCCTGCTCAAGCCAGCGCATGTCCAGGCCCATCTGAAGTTTGCCAATGACCATCTGGATGATCCAGAGGAGGAATGGGAGAAGGTCATGTGGTCTGATGAGACAAAAATAGAGCTTTTTGGTCTAAACTCCACTCGCCGTGTTTGGAGGAAGAAGAAGGATGAGTACAACCCCAAGAACACCATCCCAACCGTGAAGCATGGAGATGGAAACATCATTCTTTGGGGATGCTTTTCTGCAAAGGGGACAGGACGACTGCACCGTATTGAGGGAAGGAAGGATGGGGCCATGTATCGCGAGATCTTGGCCAACAACCTCCTTCCCTCAGTAAGAGCATTGAAGATGGGTCGTGGCTTGGTCTTCCAGCATGACAACGACCCGAAATACACAGCCAGGGCAACTAAGGAGTGTGTTTGTGATGCTCGTCGTTTGGTGCGACGCAAACAGGGTGGCGAAAGTGGGGAAACAGAAGAGTCATTGTCTGTTCTTTTGAGTTTTGAAGTTGAGTCTTTGCCTGACAAAGTGAATTTAGGATATATAAGTTATCATGTACGAGCTTATGTGCCGAATACATTACGATGTTACAGGTGTCAAACTTATGGGCATGTGGCAGCAGTATGTAGGAGGGAGGTTCCAAGGTGTGAGAAGTGTGCAGAAGGGCATGAGACAAAGGAATGTGTAGCATTGGGGAAAGTAGTGGTATGTACTAATGTACAGCCATGGGGCTGGGGATCAGAAATATCCCTTGCGAGAGAAGCAGGTTGAGGTTTCCAGGGTAAGAGTAGTGAAGAAGTTGTCATATGCTGAGACAGTGAAGAAAGTAGAGGAAGGGGGGTCAAGGGGGGGAGTGGTGAGAGTAGTAGATATGTACCAGTACAGAGGGATAGGCAAGCAAGTGATATATGTTTCAGTAAGATTGGATTTTTAGCGTTTATAGCAATGGTTATTAATTGTACTGCAGGGATGGAACGTAAGTCGAAGAAAATTGAGGTTGTGGGGGCAGCTGCAGAGAGGTATTTGGGTGTGCGAGACTTGACATCAGAAGAGTTACAGGGAGTGTTAAGTGGTGATGTCCCATCATTTCAGGCTGAGGGCATGAGGTAGGAATGAATATATTTAAATAGTGGAGAAGGGTGGTGTTAATTATGAATACTATTTTTTGAATTTGTAAGTGTAGTGTTAGATGGTAGGGTATTTCTTTATTTTATTTTATTTTTCAAGCAAAATATAAGGGAGTTGTACTCCAGTCTAGTAGGTGGCGGTAATGCAACAAATTGGATGCCAACCGCCGTTAAACCTCACTGAAGAAGAAGAAGAAGAAGAAGAAGACGAAGAAGACGAAGAAGAAGAAGATTATGGCAGAGAAATGAACATTCAGTAATCTTGCAACAGCTCTGGTAGACATCCCTGCAGTCAGCATGCCAATTGCATGCTCTCTCAAAACTTGAGACATCTGTGGCATTGTGTTGTGTGACAAAACTGCACATTTTAGAGTGGCCCTTTACTGTCCACAGCACAAGGTGCACCTGTGCAATGATCATGCTGTTTAATCAGTTTCTTGATATGCCACACTTCAAGTGGATGGATTATTTTGGCAAAGGAGAAATGGTCACTAACAGGGATGTAAACAAGTGTGCACACAATTTGAGAGAAATAAGCTTTATGTGCGTATGGAACATTTCTGGGATCTTTTATTTCAGCTAATGAAACGTGGGACCAACACTTTACATGTTGCCTTTATATTTTTGTTCAGTGTAGCATTCGTATTATAATCCCTAATTCCAACTCCACGGATTCTGTCACATGACGGTCAGTGGCGCGAGTGCGCGTTCCCATTCTGACTTCGCCAATGCTAAACTAACCAGTTAGCTAGCAGCTAATGTGCGACGTTAGTGCTGACTAGTTTCTATGGAGTGAAGATGGCTCCTTTTCCCGACGAGGTGGATGTTTTTACTGGCCCACATTGGCGAATGAAACAGTTGGTAGGACTCTACTGCGAGAAGGTGTGTATGGAGTAATTTGAATTGAGAATTTGCTCAAAAAGCTAGCTATCGTCTGCTGCCTGGTATTTGCTGCTAACGCAGTGGTTTAGCTAGCTAACGTTAGCTGGTCTGAGAAATTGGTGTTTTTGGCATAGTAGTTAGCTACAGTATGTCAGTCGCTGGCAAGTTGGGAAAGGTCTCAACCAGTTTCTTAGCTAGCTAACCTAGCTAGGTAATGACATGGTAGCTAGGTAATGACATGGTAGCTAGTGTAGCTAACTTGGCTATTTACTAGGTAACAAACACTTTAGTTCTAGCTCGATGGCTAGCTACGTGGCTGCCGAAGACCAGTCTGAAGTTGTCTAGCCCTTTTGTTGTTATGCAACACGATATCTTAGCTAGCTAGCTGATAAACCAGTACAGTGTGGCTACATAGTTTTTGTTTTCCCTTTTACCTAACGTCATAACTTGGCATGAACAAAACACAATCAAATTCATGCAGAATTTAGCTAGCAAGCTACTTTGTGCCCATTCAAGCGATGAACAGCGGCACGAACAGTTCTGCTGTCATTTATAAAGCCCTATTTACACCAACAGATGTCACAACGTGCTTATACAGAAACCCATCCTAAAACCCCAAAGAGATGTAGAAGCACGCTGGCTTGGAAAAACTCCATAGAAAGGTAGGAGGATCTGAGGGGTGACCAGTCCTCTTGGCTGTGCTGGGTGGAGATTATAAGAGTACATGGCCATTAAGGCCAGATCGTTCTTCAAGATGTTCAAAGATGACCAGCAGTGTCAAATAATAATCAGTGGTTATAGAAGGTGCAACATGTCAGCAAATCTGGAGTAAATGTCAGTTCGCATTTCATAGCCAAGCATTCAGAGGTCGAGACAGCAGATGCGGTGGAGAGGGAGAGAGAGCAGAAGGTCTGGGACAAGGTAGCACTTCAATTTAACAGGACAGGTCAGGGTTCCATTGCCGCAGGCAGAACAGCAGAAGCTGGATTAGTAGTATGACCATGCGGACTGGGGACAGCCAGGAGTCGTCAGGCCAGGTAGTCCTGACGCATGGTCCTAGGGCTCAGGTTGCCCGATAGAGATAGAATAATTAGAGGGAGCATACCTAAGATCACATTTATGAGGCTTGGTTCCACTCATAAAGGCATGTCCACAGTTCTGTTGCTATGGTTGTGTGCAGGTCTGCTATTACTATCTGAGAAACTTAGACGTGTTTTTTCTTTATACCACAGCTGTCACAGACCAACTTCTCCAACAACAATGACTTCCGCACATTTCTTCAGTCACTGTGTGCCACCTTCAAGGAGTTCAAGATGCATGAACAGATTGAGAACGAGTATATCATCGGCCTGTTGCAACAGCGCAGCTGCACTGTGTATAATGTGCACTCCGATAACAAGCTCTCAGAGATGTTGTCCCTGTTTGAGAAAGGGCTGAGAAGCGTTAAGGTGACTCCACTAATATATCAGCAGAAGTACTGCCACCAACATAACATTTATGAAAAGACTCACAAATAATCCCTGTTGCTCCTTGGGCATTGTGTTGTGTATCACTGAGTTATGTGTCTGCACTGAAATGATAGCCTATCCCTGTAGTGATTCAGCCTACAGACATGTCATTTTAACAACAACATGTTGTTGGATAAGGAAGGTCTTGGTTTCCTGTAACTGAGGAACGCTCAACTCTGTTCTCTTATATCGAGGCAGACTTTAGTTTTGATAACTGCTAGCGGGATATGTTAGTAACAATATTGAGTCACTATCAGTCGATTCTTGTAAAAATGTCAATTCTGAAAACACTTACCTGTACCTTTGTTTGTGCTATACAACTGCGGTCCTTCCGCGGGGTGCTGCAATTCATACTTAAAAAAACGTTTTGTGAAGACAACCACCAACTTTTTCCTCATTGCTTTTACGACCTAAGCTGAGATTCAATTTGGTCCGTACTAAACCGTAACTTGAACCCCTACCCCAACCATAACCCTTTACATTTACGCTTTAAAACTTCAATGGGGTAGGGACGTCCCAATTGCATCTCAGTTTAAGTAGTACAAGCAACAAGGAAGAAGTCGATGGTTGTATTCGCTAAAGGCTTATTAAAAGTATGAATTACAGCACCCCACAGAAGGACCGCAGTTGTACTGGACAAGCATAGGTACAGGTATGCGTTTTTATAATTGACAATTTTATAAGAATCGACTGATGGTGGGTCAAAATTGTTGCTAGCAAATCCCACGACCAGTTATCAAAACTCAACTCCGCCTCGATATAAGAGAACGTTCCTCAGTTGAGCGTTCCTTAGCTAGGTTTCCTGTTTCCTTTTACATTAGTGAAACTGAGGTTTCTAAATGCAACACAATTGAATAATAATAATTATGCCTCAATTCCTTAAGGGAATCTGTTCAAATCTTGGCATTATGTTGGAAAAGGCTATACGGACTCTCCTGACCTGCAAAACGTCAGTTTTAGATTTTGGTTAGTCATTTTACTGATCAGGAATGACCTTATAGCCTCTCCTCATTATGCTGATTGTATACAGTAGCCTATATTTGGTGTTAGTAGGAAGAGTATTTTGTAGCTTGTAGGGAGCACCAAGCAGGACACATATTGCATGGGCCTGTGAACATTACAGGGAGACTCCGTTTATAGACACCACAAGCTGTTTTGAGAGAGCGAGACTGTTGGCCTATTTTGGTTCCAGGCAGAATTGTTCATATGACCTTTTTCAGCAGCTTTAAGAGACAAATGTTGTAGCCATGTAGAAACAAGAACTGTCCTGAATGACGCAATTGTGTACATTTTAATATCTGCTCTTGAGTCTGTCCCAATCACTATTTGCTATAACACAAAGGAAATTCCACTGTTTAGTAAGAGCAGAATTTGGACATCAGCACTTGGTCTTCAACCAGGAGAGGAAATAATGTTTTAATTTCAGCTCAGATAAACAATACCTTTTTTAATTGTTTATAAATTCAATTAGAATACTTTTTGGTTTAGTCTCTCTGCAGATTTGTCAATGGAATACATGAATTGGATGAAAAGAAAGTTACAAGTTTGTCTGTTTTATTTTCTTATCCTACAAGTGAAAGTATTTGTTAGTATTTTATTGGCCTGTTGACTCTTGAGTGTTTGACTGTTACGATTGTGTGGTTTGATTTGACCGAAGCCGAGGATTGCTGGCATTAATTAAGGGGAGTGAATGACAGTCAGTCGTGTATGATGTCATGTTTACTATATAATTGCAGAGCGAGTATGAGCAGCTGAACTATGCCCAGCAACTGAAAGAGCGACTGGAGGCATTCACACAGGACTTCTTACCCCACATGAAGGAGGAGGAAGAGGTATGATTGAATAATATAATTTGTAATAATTAAGTTGAGGTATTCTGATGTAGGATGTACTGTGTAAATTATTAGGTCACACTTTATGCGCATAGTCCATCTGCAGATGCTCTACAAATGGTCATACTATCAACAAACTATCTGTTGTTAAGCAACTGCTTGCTAAAGTTAGGGTTAGAATAAGGGTTAGGGTAATACTAGGGTAAGGGTTAAGTTTAGGATAAAGGTTAAGGTTACTAGATAATCCATCTGTAAATGCTCTACAGCCTATCCAAATAAAGTGTTACCAATTATTAATACATGTTTGTTATGTGGTGTTCTGGCCATGAATGGGTACTGTTACAAAACCCATAACTAGCCTACGGATATTGTTGCACTCTCTTTGTCTAGGGGTCCTAGGCCTAGTTACATGGTCTGTAACCTGAATGAATGTGTGCATTTGTGAGAAATAAGAGTATGTGCCCAGCTCTGTCTTGACTCCTTTGGGTCGGCGAGCACAAGCGGATTATTAGTTGTTCAGATGGTAACGAAAATAAACGTACAAACAGACATGCCCAAACTAGACTCAAAACCAAACAAAAAGCCTCATGGCCACCAAAACAAACCCAGCAGCCTCAAGGCTTGCAAACTGAGATACTGACTGATGATCACCCTAATTGTCAGCACCTGATGTGCTAATCAACCAGGCTCAGCATTTGGACAAGGTTGCTGCTGCCCGCTGGGGGAATGGAGTGTGTGGAAGTGTAACCTGGATAGTGCATTTGTCTATGTCCTAACACTAACCTTCCATCCATATCATAACAGTACCAGCAAATAAGATATTCTGTTCAACTGTTGGTTTTTCTGTCTAGTTCATAATAATGCATTACTTTGTATGTGTTTGTGTGTAATGGGTCTATTCCAGGTGTTCCAGCCCATGCTGATGCAGTACTTCACCTATGAGGAGCTTAAAGACCTCAAGAAGCAGGTGATAGCACAGCACTGTAGCCAGCAGCGATGGGACTGTGCAGCGGAAGTGCTGAAGGGGCTCAGTCTGTGGAGTCAGGCAGAGGAGCTGCACAAGGCCTTCAAGTATGCTGACCACGAGAAGACTGACGGTGAGTCAGACAGACCCCATTATTGTCTTCTCTAGAGTGCACACCTACATCTTGGTGATGGCTATGATTCACCTGTATTCTCCCCAGCATACACAGCCTCCTCCATATGACATCTATCCCTTTACCTAATATCTCCTTCAGCAACACACTTCTCAACTTCCTCATAACTACACTATATTGGAGGATGTTGTCAGTACTTTAGGAAATGAGTTGGCCAAATTTCCCATAACCAAATGTTTGTTGAGGTGTGGCTTTAACTCTTACCAAAAATATTTATACAGAAGGCTGAAATCACACTTCTGTTGCTTCATTCCCGAATCTGCATTATTGCTGTGGTCTAGCAAAGATTCTTAGGTCTTTTTTTACCCCGAACTGTAGAGAAGCATTACATAATTGATTTACATAAGTAACCTTTCATAAGCGCTTGAGTTCAGTATGTATTGTACACTACACTTACTATAAAAAAAACTCTGCTTATCAAGCCTCAGAACTAGAGAAAGAGCCGTGCTCCACCCACATCTCCCAGCTACCTACAGAGATCCTGCTGCATCTGTTCTGCTACCTGGGTCCTGAGGACCTTTGTCACTGTGGCCAGGTGTCCTCAGCCTGGTCCGACCTGGCCAAGACCGGCTCTCTGTGGAGGCACCTTTACCCTGTACGCTGGGCCAGAGGTACAGAGATATCAATGTTGACCTTATATACTTTTATCCTCGCGGATGGTGAAGCAGTCAACACTGTAAAAGCTGCCAATAAAATCTTTTGACACTTGTTTTTCCTCATAAAGAAAGAAATAAGACAGTGACAAGAAATAAAACAGTGCCATCTCTCTGTTTTCCAGGGGATCACTATCGTGGCCCCCCAGCTGATCTGACCCAGGAACCGGATGAAGAGTGGGTGAAGAGTCTGCAGGATGAGGGCAAGGCCTACCAGGAGTGGGATGAGGATGCAGATGTCGATGAGTCTGGTGAGTTCTTTCAGCGTCATAACGGTGTCAACACCAGTCAGTCTGTGTTTATCAGGAGTACATCTAAAGGGTTGATCCAGGGAAAATGCATAGCTTGATTGAAGTGATAGTGTTTACAGACTTGGAGGAACTGTTAGAATAAGGCATCCAGAAAATCGCCCTAATACCTCATCTCTGGTGTATCCATTTTCTCCCTTGTCTAGATGAGACTTGTGAAGACTCCTTGGCTATAAGCGCAGCTCAGAGGGAGAAGAAGCTACTGAATAAAATTATTCAGAACCTTCTGCCAGCTGTGGGTTCCTCTGTCAGGTCCATCGTTCTGGCCTACAGCTCTACGGTCTCCAGTAAGATGGTATGTACCAGGAATATTCATGATCATATGCCTAGAACATCAATAAAGCAGAGCTGCTAATACAAAGCTTCCAATTCTCGAACTAATGAGAAAAGCTGGCGTGTGCATGTGAATGAAGGATATTTCAGCCTGAATAGGCTCTACATGGCAGCGTGTAGGTTAATGATCTGTATGTATATCTGCTGCTACAGGTGCGTCAGATCCTTAGTCTCTGTCCTAATATCACCCACCTGGACCTCACTCAGACTGATGTCACAGACTCCGCCTTTGACAGGTATACCATCCATAGCCAGACCAATAATGCTGAAGACTACAGGGTATGATTAACTACTGAACTCATTGTGCCTCTTTTCTCCCCTAATTGATTTGTTATTTTCACTTCTGTCTGTCAGTTGGTCATCTCTGGGGGCGTGTCTGTCTCTTGAGCACCTGGACCTATCCGGCTGTGAGAAGATCACTGACCACACCCTGAAGAAGCTGTCAATGGGTCTGGGGTACCTGCCATCTCTCACCTGCTCTCAGAAACGATCCGACCGGCAAGCCAAGCTTCTGAAGAGCCCTCCCATCAGTCTGCTGGACGAGCGGAGCCTCCGTCCGATGGGGCGCAACCAGCAGGCCCTGATCTTCAAGCAGCGGACTGGGAGACGGTGCAACAGCCCCTCCAGGGTCTGGGTCCTGGACCCCTCGGAGCTGGCTGACATCGAGGATGCAGCAGAGTGGAACCGCCGCGGGGGAGTGTCTACCCCTGAGGGGCGAGGTTTTGTGGCGATGAAGCCAGGTGGAGGTTCGTGTTGCTGCAGGAGGAGTAGGAGGCGGGGCCTCAGGACAAGCTTTAGCACCTCCTACTGGCAGAAGCAGTATGGGCTTGGGGAGGTCTGCTGTGGCCATTCAACCTGCTGCACTGGTGAGACGGCCCTGAGGGCTTTAGGAGGGCTGCAGTGTGAGTCTTACATCACCAGGGGCAGTGCAGGGGCAGAGTTTTGGACCAAATGCTCCTCTGGGGGCCAGCGGTGCCTGAAGCTTTACAACAGAACTGATCAGTCAGACACTCGGCGCTCGCTGAGGTTCCTCAGCCTCTCTGGATGCTATCAGGTTACAGACCTGGGCTTGAGGTAAAACTGCTTGGGATGCTGCTCTTCAAAGAAACGACAAACATGCATACATATTCTACCTATGTATATATTGTGTACATCTGATATTGACTGTGAGTAGGTACACATGATTGTGTGTATTATATACTCTAAGCATGTGTGTGTTTCAGAGCGCTGTCTCAGCGTGGCAGTCTTCCTTTCCTGGAGCATCTGAACCTGTCTGGATGTCTCCTCATCACTGAGGTGGGGCTACAGGAACTGGTGTCAGCCTGTCCTGCCCTCAATGATGAACACTTCTACTACTGCGACAACATCAACGGTAACGCATGCACACACACACAAAACGCACAACATTAGGCAAAACTGTGGGAAAACACCCTCATATCAGGCAACATATTCATACAAGGATATGAGTGATGCACAATTTTATACATTTCTTGAATTGTTTGATTTATTTGACATAGTAAAAACACAAAACGACCACACGTGGACACAATGCATTTAAAATAATTGAGGATGACACAACAAAGTTTTAAAACGTACTTCCATTGTGGTCCTCTTATTAACAATTATGTAGATTAATAAAACAAAGAAATTGATGATTATAACGCCATTGTAGAGTTTCTTCACAATGTAGTGTGCCCACTCATGGTGAAGACTGGTGCATATGCTGGCAAGTAACAACCCATGTGAGTTAGATCAGGGGTTCCCAAACGTTTTTGCTTCGAGACCCACCAGTTGAGGTGTCTTTTGAGTCGCAACCCACCATAAGGGTTGAGCAGTGAAAAAACATACACTAACCAAGAATAAGTAAAAAATATAATCTTGGCAGCGGAGAGAACATTTAGCAGTTTTAAAGCAAATTTCCTGCAATTCTACACATTTTGACATGGAGTTGAAAGAACATTTAGGTGTTTTTAAGCTAGTATCCTGAAATTCTACGCATTTTGACATGGCTAATGCTGTGTTATGCTCCAACATTATAACAATCAATGGGGGCCTGATTGTCTAGCTTTTATTTTGTTGATTGTAAGTTCTCAAAGATTATAGGCTATTACACTGAATGCATTTTTCCTCCTGAAAATGTCTTTGAAAAAATCTACTAAAATAAAAATGCAATGCACATAAAATGTAATTCCACAACCCACCTGGACCGCTGCTGCGACCCACAAGTAGGTCCCGTCCCACAGTTTGGGAAACACTTGAGTTAGATGGTTTGATGATAGGGATGCCAGGTGATGCTACATGATGGTGATGCAGTTGGCTTGCCGGCTCTGTTATCATCCTCTCTGTAGTATGTAATGCCAGGTGATTTAATTTTGGCGGTGGATTGTATTAAAGGTGCAATATGCCGAAATTGCTCTGCCATTTCCTGGTTGCTCAAATTCTAATAGTTTGTCTAATTTCAGTTTGTGACAAAACAGTAAAAAAAGTACGATCTAAACCGCTCTGAAATATATTTTCAATAACCAAAAATATTGTATTTTCAGCTGTCTGATGCTGGTGGACAAAACAGAGTAAAAGATGCAAAAATGAAATTTTAAGAACAGGAAGCATATAAATCGTGCACATAGAACAGATCTACTGCTTCTTAGACTTGCTTTCGATGACAGATATAACTCACATTTCTATGTGAATTTGGTCGCAGCTTTAAAGAATCTCTGAATGGGGCTTATTTGCCAAGCCTAATGAATGTGCTGTTATAACAATCATACCTAACCTCACCTGGCTGTCCAGCACATTTCCCAGTGTAAGTTCCTTATGTAACAGTCCTGCTGATCTTGTGAGGTGCAAGGTAAGTGGGACTTACGGTAGCTAGTCGGCAAAACACATTTACTGTTGAGTGTCACAAGTTAATGTGTAACTCCATTGTGTAAACAGTAGCTTTTGAAATTGTTTCTAAACCAGTCGGAAGAGTGTGGGCGGTAGACCTACTTGGGAGGAGTTACATTTCCTGTTAATAGGTGCATTGGTTTTAACTTGTCCAGACCACTGGAATTTGAAGATTTGAGACCATTCCAATCTCCACCCAGCCGGTGCACCAGCGAGGTAAAATGAATGGGCACAGCAGTACATGGCCTATGAGTGAGTGATTGACTGGTCTGACTGTGGCCTCTCTCTGCAGGTCCCCATGCTGATACGGCCAGCGGCTGCCAGAACCTGCAGTGTGGCTTCAGGGCGTGCTGCCGCTCTGGAGAGTGACTTTTGACCTAACCTTACTCTATGAATGCCCCCCCCCACATCTGCACTTTAATCCTCACCTGGGAATATGCCATTCGTTGTACTTTGTCACTTCAGATAGTTTCTACGTGAAATTTTAAAGTAAAAAGTTGATTCCTGACATTTCCATTTTTATCTGTATTTCTTATAAACACTCATTTAGAAAATAAAATATATGGGTGTTGGATAAAGTATCTGCAAATGTAAATTCTGGTTCCTTATTTTTGTGGTTTTTAGAAGGTGATTTGTTTTACACTTTTGTTTGAGTTACAAAAAAGCAGATGGTATACGTGAGCACCAAGTACTTGTTTCTGTACAACAGATATCCTGTAGTTTCTGACTAGGTCCACCTCATTTGCTCCTACTTGCTTGTTTTAGATCACCAATTTGCGATTACTGTAGTCTTATTTGGTTTATTGAAAATAGAAGTCAAACATCAGATTATTCACTGTGATGTGAGGTCCCTTCATAGGAAAATATAAGCAACCACCAAATTAATTATTATTACACACAGCTGACATACATTTTAAAAGATGAACAATTATAGTAAATAGTGGTAATTCACACGGTGGAAGATGCTGTTGCAGCGTAATGTGGTTTCATGTCAGGGACGGTTAAGAATCTGAGGGTGCTTCACATTTCACTACCAGAGACCACACACAGATTCAACAAAGTTTTAAATCGTATTTCCATCGTGGTCCTCTTAACAATTATGTATATTTATAAAACAAAGAAATGTATGATGATAAAGCTATTGCAGAGTTCCTTCATGGAGTGTGCCCACTCATGGTGAAAACTGGTGCTTATGCTGGCAAGTGGCAACCCATGTGAGTTAAATCAGGGGTTTATTTGCTTTGAGACCCACCAATTGAGGTGTCTTGAGTCGTGACCCACCATTGAGCAGTGAAAAAACATACACTGACCAAAGAATGAGTAAAAAATATAATCTTGGCAGTGAAGTTTTAAAGCTAATTTTCTGCAATTCTACACATTTTGGCAAGGAGCTGAAATAATATTTTGCAATTTAAGCTAATTGTGTTCTTATGCTCTAAGATAATAACAAAATCAATGGGGGCCTGATTGTCTAGCTTTTATTTTGTTGATCGTAAGTTCTCAAAGATAATGGGCTATTATTAAAGAAATATAGGTCACCCTGGTGGTCAGTTCACTGGTAGAATTGCGTTAGATGGGTGCAGGCATTTCAGGAATAAAGGGTTATTATGGAGGTTTCTGGCTGCAGGTAATACCAGATAACTTTTTCTGAGGGTCTGAGAGTCTTTAGGTGCCTTTCACTGAGGAGTGGCTTCCGTCTGGCCAATCTACCATAAAGTCCTGATTTGTGGAGTGCTGCAGAGATGGTTGTTCTTCTAGAAGGTTCTCCCATCTCCACAGAGGAACTCTGGAGTTCTGTCAGAGTGACCATCGGGTTCTTGGTCACCTCCTTGACCAATGCCCTTCTCTCCCGATTGCTCAGTTTGACCGGGCAGCCAGCTCTAGGAAGAGTCTTGGTGGTTCCAAACTTCTTCCATTTAAGAATGATGGAGGCCACTGTGTTCTTAGGGACCTTCAATGCTGCAGACATTTTTTGGTACCCTTCCCCAGATCTGTGCCTTGACACAAACCTGTCTCAGAGCTCTACGGACAATTCCTTCGACCTCATTGCTTGGTTTTTGCTCTGACGCACTGTCAACTGTGGGACCTTATATAGACAGGTGTGTGCCTTTCCAAATCATGTCCAATCAATTTAATTTACCACAGGTGGACTCCAATCAAGTTGTAGAAACATCTCAAGGATGAGCAATGGAAAAAGCATGCACCTGAGCTCAATTTCGAGTCTCATAGCAAAGGGTCTGAATACTTATGTAAATAAGTTATTTCTGTGTTCCAAAAACCTGTTTTTGCTTTGTCATTATGTGGTATTGTCTGTAGATTGAGGATGTTTTTTTTTTATTTAATCCATTTTAGAATAAGGCTGTAACGTAACAAAATGTCTAGGGGTCTGAATACTTTCCGAATGCACTGTATACCACGGCTAAGGGCTGTATCCAGGCACTCTGCGTTGCATCGTGCATAAGAACAGCCCTTAGCTGTGGTATATTGGCCATATACATTTACATTTACGTCATTTAGCAGACGCTCTTATCCAGAGCGACTTACAAATTGGTGCATTCACCTTATAGCCAGTGGGATAACCACTTTACAGTATTTATTATTATTATTATTATTATTATTATTATTAATTTTTTTGGTGTGGGGTAAGGGGGGGTAGAAGGATTACTTTATCCTATCCCAGGTATTCCTTAAAGAGGTGGGGTTTCAAGTGTCTCCGGAAGGTGGTGAGTGACTCCGCTGTCCTGGCGTCGTGAGGGAGCTTGTTCCACCATTGGGGTGCCAGAGCAGCGAACAGTTTTGACTGGGCTGAGCGGGAACTGTGCTTCCGCAGAGGTAGGGGGGCCAGCAGGCCAGAGGTGGATGAACGCAATGCCCTCGTTTGGGTGTAGGGACTGATCAGAGCCTGAATGTATGGAGGTGCCATTCCCCTCACAGCTCCGTAGGCAAGCACCATGGTCTTGTAGCAGATGCAAGCTTCAACTGGAAGCCAGTGGAGTGTGCATAGGAGCGGGGTGATGTGAGAGAACTTGGGAAGGTTGAACACCAGACGGGCTGCGGCATTCTGGATGAGTTGTAGGGGTTTAATGGCGCAGGCAGGGAGCCCAGCTAACAGCGAGTTGCAGTAATCCAGACGGGAGATGACAAGTGCCTGGATTAGGACCTGTGCCGCTTCCTGTGTAAGGCAGGGTCGTACTCTCCGAATGTTGTAGAGCATGAACCTACAGGATCGGGTCACCGCCTTGATGTTAGCGGAGAACGACAGGGTGTTGTCCAGGGTCATGCCAAGGCTCTTCGCACTCTGGGAGGAGGACACAACAGAGTTGTCAACCGTGATGGCGAGATCATGGAACGGGCAGTCCTTCCCCGGGAGGAAGAGCAGCTCCGTCTTGCCGAGGTTCAGCTTGAGGTGATGATCCGTCATCCACACTGATATGTCTGCCAGACATGCAGAGATGTGATTCGCCACCTGGTTATCAGAAGGGGGAAAGAAGAAGATTAGTTGTGTGTCGTCTGCGTAGCAATGATAGGAGAGGCCATGTGAGGATATGACAGAGCCAAGTGACTTGGTGTATAGCGAGAATAGGAGACGGCCTAGAACTGAGCCCTGGGGGACACCAGTGGTGAGAGCACGTGGTGCGGAGACAGATTCTCGCCACGCCACTTGGTAGGAGCGACCGGTCAGGTAGGATGCAATCCAAGAGTGAGCCGCGCCGGAGATGCCCAACTTGGAGAGGGTGGAGAGGAGGATCTTATGGTTCACAGTATCAAAGGCAGCAGACAGGTCTAGAAGGACAAGAGCAGAGGAGAGAGAGTTAGCTTTAGCAGTGCAGAGAGCCTCTGTGACACAGAGAAGAGCAGTCTCAGTTGAATGACCAGTCTTGAAACCTGACTGGCTTGGATCAAGATGGTCATTCTGAGAGAGATAGCAAGAGAGTTGGCTAAAGACGGCACGCTCAAGAGTTTTGGAGAGAAAAGAAAGAAGGGATGCTGGTCTGTAGTTGTTGACATCAGAGGGATCGAGTGTTGGTTTTTTGAGAAGGGGTGCAACTCTTGCTCTCTTGAAGACGGAAGGGACATAGCAAGCGGTCAAGGATGAGTTGATGAGCGAGGTGAGGTAAGGGAGAATGTCACCGGAGATGGTCTGGAGAAGAGAGGAGGGGATAGGGTCAAGCGGGCAGGTTGTTGGGCGGCCGGCCGTCACAAGTCGCAAGATTTTATCTGGAGAGAGAGGGGAGAAAGAAGTCAAAGCATAGGGTAGGGCAGTGTGAGCAGGACCAGCAGTGTCATTTGACTTAACAAACGAGGATCGGATGTCGTCAACCTTCTTTTCAAAATGGTTGATGAAGTCATATACAGAGAGGGAGGAGGATGATTCAGCAGGGACGAGAAGGTGGCAAAGAGCTTTCTAGGGTTAGAGGCAGATGCTTGGAATTTAGAGTGGTAAAAAGTGGCTTTAGCAGCAGAAACAGATGAAGAAAATGTAGAGAGGAGGGAGTGAAAAGATGCCAGGTCCGCAGGGAGTCTAGTTTTCCTCCACTTCCGCTCGGCTGCCCGGAGCCCTGTTCTGTGAGCTCGCAATGAGTCGTCAAGCCACGGAGCAGGAGGGGAGGACCGAGCCGGCCGGGAGGATAGGGGACATAGAGAGTCAAAGGATGCAGAAAGGGAGGAGAGGAGGGTTGAGGAGGCAAAATCAGGAGATCGGAGGGAGAAGGATAGACGTAGGGAGGTTGAAGTCACCCAGAACTGTGAGGGGTGAGCCATCCTCAGGAAAGGAACTTATCAAGGCGTCAAGCTCATTGATGAACTCTCCAAGGGAACCTGGAGGGCGATAAATGATGAGGATGTTAAGCTTGAATGGGCTAGTGACTGTGACAGCATGGAATTCAAATGAGGAGATAGACAGATGGGTCAGGGGAAAAAGAGAGAATGTCCACTTGGGAGAGATGACGATTCCTGTGCCACCACCCCGCTGACCAGATGCTCTCGGGGTATGCGAGAACACATGGTCAGACGAGGAGAGAGCAGTAGGAGTAGCAATGTTTTCAGTGGTAATCCATGTTTCCGTCAGCGCCAAGAAGTCGAGGGACTGGAGGGTAGCATAGGCTGAGATGAACTCTGCCTTGTTGGCCGCAGAACGGCAGTTCCAGAGGCTGCCGGAGACCTGGAACTCCTCGTGGGTGGTGCGTGCAGGGACCACCAGGTTAGAGAGGCAGCAGCAACGCAGTGTGAGGCGTTTGTATAGCCTGTGCGGAGAGGAGAGAACAGGGATAGACAGAGGCATAGTTGACAGGCTACATAAAATGGCTACAATAATGCAAAGCAGATCGGAATGAAATGAACTAAACATCTGGGAAAGCGAGAGAGCGGGGCCTCCCTCACTTACCCAAATATAACTCTCCCAACTTCCACCTCAGAAACTATACCACACCCCCTCGTGCTTTATTGCTTAATTATAAATAAATAAAACTTTAATATACAGTACATTAACACAGTTGAGCCTGAGCTTCAGATTTGGTACATATAAAACTTAATTATGATTTCTTAGGAATGATAAACAACTGCAATCTATCAG